CATGGCCCAGTGCAAGCGGCTTTAGCCAGGGAACTCATTGCTGTTCCTGCGTCTCCAGTGACATGCTGTGTGCTGTTGAGCATGTGGCAGGGGTGCTCTGTCCCTCAGTTTCCTCATTTCTGATACGGGGATCCTGAAAATGCTGCTTACGCCTCCATTTAATGTGCATGGAGATCTCTGGATAAAACATGCCAGGTACTTCTAAATGTTAACCAGGACTTTGCTCAGGCTGGCTCACCCCTCGCCAGCAATGACCACAGTGAAGTCATGTGGGCTACCGGAGAGCTGCCCGGCCTTGGCAGGGCAGAGATGCTGGCAGAGCGTCATGCTGGGAGATGGACGTGCAGCAGCGTGAAGCTCCCTGGACAGCCCAGCTGCCTGCTGCTCCTTTGCTTAGCTAAGATTTCAAATGGACAAAGTCAGGTTGGAGCAGCCATCACCTGGTCCTGATGAAATTCCACTTCACCCTTTGCTAGGCCTGAGCCAAAGCCCACAGGAGTTTATAGGGCTCTCCATTCACTCCCTGGGCTTAGGATCAAGCGTGGAGTGATGTTCTCTCTACTTCTAATCTCGGTCAATAAGGGCTGGGGGCTGATTCTCCTCTCCTTGGCACCTGGTGCAGAGTGAGCCCAAAAGGTTCTGCTCTTGTGGCCTTTGACATCAAATCTGCCCTGCTGTAAAGGAGGAGCAAGGCCATGGGGAATCAGGGCCCGTGTTTAGCACTGCCAAGTGTCCTGCTTTGTGTGCAACCCATTCGGCAGAGAAGAGAAAACCCTGTATGCGGAAACCAGACACTGCACCAGTACTAAATTTGTGCCGGACTTGCCAGACTGAGCCCTGGCACCTCTGGGCTTGGGAATTGATAGCCTCCGCACCTCTGAACTCGCTGCATTAGTTGGGAATGTAAAAAAGTTGCTTGAGCCTCAGCACTTCTCTCAGTACAAATTAAGCAGAGCACATGCTTCTCCCTCGGGCGGTGGGGCGGATGACAGAATGACCAACACATGACAGTCACATTGCTTGAGACCCTGCTGGTGGGCACGCTGACACTTCAGTGAACAGCACCACAGAAGCTGGCTTCCTGATTCCCCAGGAGGTGCTGGCTCTTGCTCCTTCCTGACCCCGTCTCTTCCCATCCCGCTCGACCACTTCCCACTCCTGCCCCACCCCCTCCCCCGAGGGTGCCTCATTGATGACTGGTGCCTCTCCACAACAGGGAGCATGAGCTAAAGGTGAGGTCAGTGTTTCCCCTTGCCATGCCCATCCCCCAGACCCAGCCTGGGGCCACCAGGATCTCCCCACTCCACATGAACCCACATTATCTGCTGCTCTCCCTGGTGGATGGGAGGCCGGGAGGGGGCCACTGGCCCTTTCCAGTTGCTGCTCTGCAGCCAGGCAGCTGCCTGGGAGATCCTGGCTGGGGAAGCAGTTCCTACACCCTGCCTGGGATTGGTTGCCAGGGACCATGGCTGAGTGAGCTGGAAATGTGCTAGGAGGAGGCTCACTTGCCCTCTAGCCCAGCTCTGGAGCCCAAGCCAGGAGGGGACACTACCTCCCCAGCCTGGCTCGCTCGAGCAGCCGCCAGCCAGGGCTGCAGAGCAGCATCCCAGCATCTGAAAGGGTCTGATCCTGAACCTTCCACTCCCCTGCATCTGGGGTTATCCCCCCGATGAGTCACTCAGTCCCAGTGTGCCTGGCCCCAACTTTTCCTGCCCTATTCTGCCTTTCCCCCTCTTCTTCCTGTCCCCTGTCCGGCACCAGTCCCCCTCCGCCCTCCACCACTGAACAGCTGAGTGTGCAGGTGGGAGGCACTTGGAGGGAAGGAGAGGCACTGGGGTGGGGTGGGCTGGGGACGAGGGGAGGGGCACATCAGTGGGTATGAGCATCCATGGAGTCAGCGCCTACAATTAACACAATATGAGATCATCAGTGAGTAGCTGAGTCGTAAGAAGGCAGCAGGCAGTTTCCTGCAGTTGCTCCTGGGCTGCTAGAGGCAGCGGTGGCATTTCCTGAGCAGGCAGCCTGGTGCCCCCTCCTTCCCTGATGGGTCATGGCAATCAGCCTGGAACTAATGGCAGAGCCATTTTGGGAGAGAGAGGGGAAGTGCAGCCCCACACACCGGGATGCTGCTCACTCTTCCTCCTCTTCCCCTCATTAGCAGGGAGTGAGGGGGTGTACACAGCATTCCTCTCACTCCTGGCTGGGGAGCAGAGGAGCAGAGAAGTGAGCGACACAAACTGTGTGCTTCCCCTTGCTCCCCCGTAGTGAGGGAAGGGGAAAAAGAGCAAGGAGCTTCCTGGTACAGGGAGTTTTAGCCCCTTCTGCCCTCCCAAGATGGAGCCCTTGCCTGTAGCTGGGGTAGAAGCAGAAAGTGAGAAGCCCTGGTTCCCCTTCACCCCTCCCCTCAATACAATCCCCCAGCCACAATGAATGAGCAACCCAAAGCACCCCTGGGGCTCCAGTCCAGCAGGCTCACCACCCAGCATCAATAACACTAGCAGCTCCGCGACAAACACACTTGAGCACTTGATATCCCAGCCAAAGCTGTCAGATTATATTCAGCTTCCTGGAGAACACGAACTCTCCTTTCCCTCCACCAGCTTGGGCAGGGTGTGTCGACTAAACTAGGCATATATACAACACACTCCTATGACAGTTACTTCATTAAACAGTTTGCAAAATGCCTCCTAGAGCAAAATAAAACTGGTGACTGTGCCTCACATTCTGTTCTACTTCTGCCCTCTCAGCCTGCGTGAACTTTACCTTAGACTGAGGGAACGAGACTGGACAAAAGTCAGGTCTCATGGCCATGTTTACACAGCAGGGCTAAACTCCAAATAAGCTTCGCAACTTCAGCAATGCTGATTGCGTCACTTAAATTGAAATAACTTATTTTCATGTTTACACAGCAGTTATTTGAAAAAGAGCACTCTTCCCCTGACTTCCCTTACTCCTCGTACAATGAGGCTGTGTCTACACTGGTGCGATCTTGTGCAAAAGCGGCCGCTCTTGCACAAAAACTTGCAAGATGTTGCAAAAAACATTATGTCAAAATAACTGCGTGTGTGTAGATGTGGACTGTGTTATTTTGGAATAATGCTGCTGTATAGACACAGCCTGTAAGACAGATGGAGAGAGAAGAGCTGGGCCTCTCCTGTGCAGCACAATGTAACCAAACCCCAAAAAGCAGCTGCTTTTGCTGCAGAGAGAGCACATCTCATCCTTTAAACGTGCAGGGCACAGACAAGCCTGACCAAATAGAAGCTACTTGCTCACAATAGAATAAAGCTGGGTGAAAACGTCTGATGAAACTGTTTTCTGTCAGAAAGCGTAGTTTAGTGAAATGGAACTTGTTGAGTTTGACCAGTGCCCGGTAGAAAAATGAGAAGACAGATTGTTTCAATTATTTTCATTTTAATAACATCAAAATGTTTTATTTTGATTTTAATACTATGCTGTATTATAACATATACTAGCCAATAGCCTGTCATAAGACAGGATTTTCGGGTCTCTCTTCCACGTCTGTCTGTCTCTCTCTTTCTCTCTCCCCTCCTCCTCCTGCTTCCCCCTCTCTCTCTCAGCTCTCCTCCGCCTCCTGCCTCTCTCTCTGTCTCTCTTTTTCACTTCTCCTCTTACTCGGGGGACCGCGGAGCCCAAACGGCTGTTTGGACTATGCACTCCCCGTGCTGTATGGGGGGTGCAGAGCCCAAACAGTCACTTGCGCCGCTTGCTCCCACATGGCGGCCCACATGGCTGAGCAGCGCAGAAGTCTCCATGCTCCCTGTGCAGGAGCAAGCAGCACAAGCGGTCATTTGGGCACTGCGCTCCCAATGTTGCATGGGGAGCGTGGAGCCCAAACGGCCGCTTACACCTCTTGCTCCCGCGCGGTGACCCGGTTGAGTGGCACAGAAGTCAGCCGAGCACCACAGCAGGAGGCGAAAGGGGATGAGGCAGTGACGTTCACAGCCAGGGGGCGGGACCTGGAGCACATCACCGCCCTGCCCCCCTTCACCTGCCCCCAGTGCCCGGCTGCTGCGGGGGAGCAAGCGGCGCAAGCGGCCATTTGGGCCCTGCACTCCCCATGCAGCACGGGCCGCCCAGAGGGAACAGCCAGCATTTCAGCGTTACAGACTCTAAGACATTGGGCTGCTATATATATGATGATATTTTACATTATAATTATTTAGTATTATCATAAAAATGTGACATTATCAAAATGAAACATTTCTATATTTCTGAATAAAATTTTTCTGGAATTATCATCTTCCCAAAATTTAAACTACAAGTCCCAACTTGGAATGAAAGGAAATTTTAAAATGTCAGGCTTTCTGGTGACAGTTCCGGTTCCCAGGCAGCTATGAGACTGTCTCCCTATTGTGTATTTGTATAAAGCCAAGCACAGTTCAGGGCCCTGGTCCATAAGGGGGTTGGCACTGCTGTGTCACACACAAACAATTGGGTTCCATTGGGTTAAGAGACCTGACATTGGAATTATGGGACAGGATCCATCCCCCACTGAAGCAGGGCAGTGAAAACTGCACCTGCTCATGTACACTAGTGAAGAGGTGTGTTGCACCAAGGAGAAGTGGGTGTGCACTGAAGGGCAAATACTTTAATCTATGCTGAGTTCCATTAAAAAAAAATTCTGTGTCCATCGACACTGCTAAAGGGATACTCTGAGAATGCCCAGATCCTGGCTGTCTTTAGCTACACCCCCTCTTTACCCATTCCAGAGGAAGTGGCCATTCCAGCAGAATGTGCCATTGCCAGGGTCGGTGCTGACAAAGGAATCTAGGTCACAGACTCTCTTTGGAACAAAGCACCCTCTATGGTTGCCAAGGGAAGCAACTGGCTTTAAAGAGGAGAAGAGAGAAACACTTGTCTGAGCCCTCACAGGAAAGGGAAGTAGGGCTCATTCCCAAAGACACCACTAAGCAGCTGGCACTTTGCCCACAAGCCACAGAGAGAGAGCCAAACACGTGTATATGTCTAAGTAGAGAGATATCCAGAGAGAGCTGTCTGAGTGCTTCAGATTAGACTAGAGCATGGAGCTGCAGCACAGGACTGAGGGGCACTGGCCAGGCTGTGTGGGGAGCCCAGGGCTGGTATAGCAGGGGGCTACAGGGCAGGACTGAGGGGCACTGGCAGGGCTGTGAGGGGAGCCCAGGGCTGGAATAGCAGGGGCTGCAGGGCAGGGCTGAGGGGCACTGGCAGGGCTGTGTGGGGAGCTCAGGGCTGGAATAGCAGGGGGCTGCAGCTAAAGACGGAGGAGCATTAGCACAATTGTGAGTGGGATGAAGGAAATAAAAGAGAAGACAGCACCAGCCCCCTCTGCATGAGCAGCTTACGGTTCGGTGGTGGGTGAGGTGCCTCCGGGGAGGAGGAAGAGGAGCAGGAGGAAGATGCTCGGGCCACCCAGCAGCTTGTCTTTCCCCATGGTGCAGCGCAAGGTTGGTGAGAGAGGCAGACACGCAGCCTTGTCTGCTGGCTCCCTGCACCCGGGCTCTCTTCAGATCAGCCCCTTTATGCTGCTCTCTGCAAACAGCCCCTGGGAGGGGCGAGAGAAGGGCAGGGTGCCAGGACCATCTGGGAAATGGGGAAAGGTACATGAGGAGGAGCCAGGCCCAGCAGCTCTGACTCCTGGCACAGAGACTGTCCCTGGCCAGACCCTGACATGCTGGGGGGCTGGGTATTTCCTGTTGATGTTCATGTGAGACACTGTCCTGTGTCTGAACCAGTCACACCCACACCCGTTTGCCTCACTCCAGCAGCACCCTGCCGTGGGGGGTGAGGGCCTGTAGTTCATTACCGGGCCAGCCCAGCATTCGGTGGGGGTTGGAAGCAGCTTCCAAACACTGCCCAGGGCGGCCAGAGTAACCTTTCTTGGCCCCACCCCCTGGACGGCCAAACACAGGAGATGAACAAGCGCAAGCCAGGTCTCAGCAGCAGCAGCCGA